AGGTGATTATACGGAGGATAAGGTAGGGTAAGGAAAACATACCTATACTAAATAATTACTACCTCCCACAATTTTAAATACAGTGTTTCCGTAATGTTTATACACTGGGATGTTTTAAGCTCTGCAGCAACCTTGCAGTGTTATTGCTGTAACCTCACGTAACCTGTCCAAACAAATTGAATCCTTCCTGCAAAGGCAAATACCCAGAGGAGCTTGATGCTGCTGTGAGAGGTGAACCGGAGTCGTGTTGAGAGCAGAGGACTGAGGTCAGGTCAGGCCGTGTGGAGGCCTGAACCCCCCTCTGAGATGGATACAAGGCCACACACGGGACACTGGATTATCTGCTTATCTCTGTCTTTGTAATTGCTGAGGGTTCAAGGTCAGAGAAGAGTAATTGAAATGCCATCAGCCTTCTCTTGCTCTTAATGGGATAAGTCACACTGCCTTGTGTCCAAGGTGAGGTGAAGGTGAGTTTGCCCCCTAGTTGATCATTTTATTTTGTCCGAGTGGGACAAGCCTGATATTTTTCATTATTAAATCCAGTTTAGTCATATTAATGTCAATGTGAGCCATATTTACTCTCCCTTTTTAATCCAATATGCTTTATCTTTGTCTGTAACATTAAGATGAGTGGGTCAATATGCTTTTCTTCCAGGGGCCAGCCCACGTCAGAAGCTAATGAGTTGAATTTAAAGGGTAATGGAAAATTCCATTTTGTTAGACAGCCTTATGTTGTATATTGATGAATGAATGAATGAATGATTTAGGAAGATCTATTAGCTAGACAGATAGGGGCTTTGGCGTTTCATGGCCACCGTAGTTTTCTCACTTGCGCTCGGAAAGGAAGGGTGGCCTAAACCGACACAAAAAAGTAGCATCAATGATGTCAACAGCTTTATCTCCATGACAACAGGGCAAACTCCATCCCTGTAAATCTGTATTCAGACCCATGTAGGGACTCATGTTGCAGACTTAGCTTAGGCTATAAATGTTGTGGTATGTGGCAGTGGTCCATTTTCTTGTCGCTACAAAAATGAACATTAAATAAATAAATACATGTTTTTAACCTATTAGTGCATCTCAAAGACAAATTCCCAGGTTTGTGATGGAAAATAACATTTTCTGGTAAAGATAACTAAAATAATAGATTACACAATGTATAATTGTAAATAAGTGTAATAAGGCTTGTCTGACTGATTTACAGCAGATTTATGTGTTGTCCAGCCAAAAACTCACCCTGTGTCAGAATAATAAATGATTATGGACATGCACAAGAACATCTAGCCTCACTCTAATGAACCTACATGAGGGAGAAATATAAACAAAGTGGTTTCTTTGTTGTATCTGACCATGAGCTGAAACCACACAGCCGCTGGTAATGGCTGAGTGAAAGCGATCTGGCTGTACTCTGTGGTGACTCGTACCATGTAATGAAAGTGTAATCAAAACACTGCAAATGAGCTGAAATTACAGAAACTAATGGGAATATTAAAACTCTTCCATTCAGCTTGGCTCTTTACTCGCTTTGATTCCCTTCAAGAAAACATCTCCACTTCCGAATCATGTTCCAGCTCATTAACATTTTACAAATGTAAAAACAGTGGATGTGTTTTCTTTTTAGAGTTGGGTCGATTGTTGAAGCACAAGCTGCTATCACAAGACTGTATAAATCACTAATGCTAATGAAGTCTATCAGTTAAAGCTAGTTTAATTTATAAAATTAGTTACCATTAGTAAACCATGTAAAGCTGTTGTTAGGAAATATTGTAATAATGTGTAGTAGTTTATTTATATGTGCATATATTAAAAATGTGTCTCGGGATTAGCAGTATTGTGCTGCAATTTGAGGTATTTTTTTGTGAAATACCATTTAAATCTCAATATTAAACTACATTTTCATCAAATGTCAAGTCAGATATGTCAACCGTATTTAATGTTATGGCTCTTTTAACCGTCAAACAGGTCACACTGTATGTGCAAGCTAGTGTTTTGTTAGTTAACATTACACCTGGTAGTTCGTATGTAATTCTTCTAACCTCCACATGAAAAATAGTTTGTGGTGCAGTATTTATTTACTAAATCAGTTACTAAACACTTAATCCAGGCTAAGTTTAAACATATGAGGAGCTAGTGCTCCAGCTGAATTGTACACAACATCCCCTTTGCCTTTTGCACATTCATCACTGCAGTGACCTTTTCTTCTGTGTGAGGAGGCAGAGGGACAAATGCCTCTATGGACCCCGAGGCCTTATGTAATATGCAAGTTCATACCCTTACCTGGGAATAAATGTCAGATTTTCCAAGTAAAGATTTATGTTTTTCTCTTCAAAAACTTTAACCAAAACTGCACACATTGATCAGCTTGAACGCCTGCCATGATTCGACGCTCTCCATCTCTTCTCTGCAGTGACTGTTGTTTGACATTAATGTCCACTAGACTCTGCAGAAATATCCCCTCCTGACAACACTGCAAGCTGAGAAACATCACTGTCTCTATTCTGCACACAAACAACTCACTTCAAATCAACATCAAAGTGCAGGCCGGTTATTACAAATATAAATCTCAAAGAGAAAGAAAAAAACAAAACAGGTTAAATAAATTTTATTGATTTGTTTTTACTTCCCACTCATGAAACTGACCACAGTGTTTCTGACAGGAATTCGATTGTTCAGTGACACCTTTTATCCTGGTGGTTTAATGCTCCACCACATCCAATCAGCTGGGATTACGCTTTATTTGACCCAGCAGAAGTATCCTGGTAGGCAACTTCACAGCAGCCTTAATGTAATGAAAAAAAATGCCTAAAGCACAAGTTTAAAATACAACTCTCTTCCACTACACTGACATTTGTGCTGACATACTCACTGTGACCTTTACAGGTAATTGGCTTTTTTTCCCCCCTGTACAATAACAAGACACCTACCAATGTCATTAAAATGCCCACTATGTAATTCAGTATATCAATGTACAGTATATCTCGTTGCCTTTGAAGAGTAATTTAACCCTAAAGAGTAAGTACATTTCATGTACAGTAACTTTATTACAATATCAATTGATCCTTATTGCATTTTATAGTTTATTTGAACAAAGGCTATTCTCTAGAGAGAGAGAGAGAAATTAGTCTATCCACTTGAACCCCCCCCCATAGCTGCGACACACGACAACAACACAACAAAGGCAATGTTACATTCACATATAGTCAGCAGTGTAGACAGTACGGAGTATAAAGACTGAGAGTTAACAGTAGTGGAAAGAAACACTACAGTAGTAGAAATATTGCTGTGTTGACCAGCTATCACTCATCTGTTACTTCTGCTACACCCTCGCTAGGCTAAGCAGGGGATGCATTCATTTTTGTAAAATGTAAAGGGGGGGAAGTTAAAACAGTAACCCAGTACATACTGCAAACAAGAAAAAAACCTCTAAAGGCTCAGTCATTATGCATTAAACATAAAATGTTCTGCTAAAATCATTTCTTTTCAGTGGAATCGCAGCTTGGGGTGAAGTGGATTTGCACAAATCTTTCTTGTCAAGTTCTTCTTTTTTTTTTGTTTTACTTTGTCCTTTACGCCATTGTTCAATATCTTTTCATCTTGACAGTCAAAACATGGAGGAACATCCACTTTTACATAAAAATCTCTCTGTTGTATGTGAGTATAAAGTTCTTCAGAAGAGATTAATAGTTTGCAGACAATTGTGAAATATTGTCCCATGAGTGACCAAGCTAATTAGCTTGTGTACTGACAGTTAAAGCTAACTAGACTGGAAAACTTCATGTCTCTTTACTGGGTCACTTTCTTTACAGTATCAATAAAAGAAAATACATATTATCCTGTCCAAGTTTTGGTGTATGTGATAATTTGATTACTGTAAACACAAATGTATTTAGGAATATGTGCTGCGTCTTAAAACTGTATTTTCTACTTATAACCCAGGCTGCAGCAGCAAGTACACAGCCCCGACAGCCCCGATATATGGGGTGCATGCTCCACCAGGCGAGCCACCAGGGCGCCCTTAAAACTATATTTTGACACTAAGTTAAGAGGAGCCTTTAGGTCCTCATCATTCAGTTTAAAATCGCTCAGTAACTTTGACTTCAGTGACAGTTATTATAAGTTGCTCTGCAGTACTGTAACAACTACAGTTACTCTCATAACAAACAAACTTTCTGGAAGTCAGATGACAGAGACCAGCTGCTGGAAATGATGGGAAATATAAAGACACACATCCTGACAGAAGTTCAATAAGTGAGCGCATTTTTGCTGACATAATATTGACGTCCAACAGAACCCCCTGCTCAAAGCCATGAGACCGGGAGTAATGGCGAGGAACACAAAACTATCATTATCTGTTGCCGACGGTGCCGTATTGTCATCTGCGACTCCTGTGATGGATTCCTCAACAAAAACACTGAGATCCCTGTTCACACAAACATCGGATGCAGATTACAGATCGCCCTGGGAGTCTTTAACCTCAGTTTCAGCTGAGGAGATATTGATTAATGTTGTTTTCCACCAATACTTGATTTCTTGTTTTTACCTCACTGTACCCAACATGTGTTAACATTTTTCACAGCTTTCCACATTGTTAAATTACTTTCTTATATTCTTATGGGTGTTTAGGTGTACTCATTGTAACGTCAATCAAAGTGTCGGTATAGCAAGCAATGATCATTACATGGATCCATTATCATTTCATGGCACACATAGTTCATTTTTACAGCCAATACTTCAACAACATATTCCCCTCATTACCTCCCTTTCTTTTGTTTTTGCAGTGGTTTACAACTTGTCTGGCTTGTGAATCCTTAAAATAAAGCAAATTATGATGACAGATTATGGCTTCAGTGTTGATAAGATTTATTAGCAGTTCAATAATTTTTTCCTTTTCAGATTAATTAATTTGGAAAATGTATTTGAAGAAGGTGCAGAAAGTAGTTGTTGTTTTTTTTACAAAAAAGAGCAAGAATTAGAGAAAAGTCAGACAAACAAATATCATTTTGAGTGATAGACAATTTTTTATCCCTTTATTTATCTAATGACCCCTCGGATGTTTGTTTTTTTAACAAACAGATCCAGTTTTTTCTATGTAACGATTGCATTCAGTCATCTGTAAAGCCACTGTCAGGTACTTCTGTGTGTATTATCAGGAGCAGTTTTTACTGAAATCAATACTTGTCTCTATACTACTCTCTACTTGACTCTGTTTGTCGTTACACTAAATAGCAGCTGACAAAGGCCAAAAGCAGAAAGTTTGAAGTAAGCAATATGCTAATACGCTCTGTCACACAGGAAGCCCAGTGATCGAAACTCATTTACTACTATTAACAAATAATCAGACAGTAATGGGCTTATCTGTTAAGTTTAGGCTGCAGTCCATCTTTACACAGCCGGCTCTGGAGTAAGAATTGTGCATCAGTGTAGAAACCAACCCCCTCAACTCCAAAGTGGCCCTCATTTTCTGTCATTTTAACAGGTTTCTTCCACTGAACTGCCAGTGGAATTCAGCCAGTGGATTAAAAAAAAAACATCTGCACTCACAAAATAAATGGTTTTAAGTAACATTTGTGAGTGTTTAGCTCTGAGAGTAGATACTTCTGGTCAAGTGCATATGGTCAACACCTTTGAGACCCCTGTAGCGATCTTTTACATCTCTTGCTCTAGAAGGACAGCGGCTCATCCAACCAGAGATTATAGCAGGGGACAGGAAATCAATACTTTGAGGAACAGAAGGTAAGGAAAGTTTCCTCTACAGTTCCAGTGCATTAAACAACATGGTTGATGATTTCCATTTAGATTTTAGTGTCGTTTTAGCCAGGAAGTATTGCCATTGCAGTATTTTGCACATATGGCCGTAAATAAATGCACAGAAGCTGGAACTGGAAACCTTATCTGAATGAGTAGTACGACTGACTGTATGCCATGTCACAAACGAGAGGCATATTTCTTCTGATTCACTGAGTTTTATTTCATGTCCACATGAGTTGAGTCACCCAGCATGCCAAAAACAACTGTCCAAAACAAAAAACGTAATAACAATAACCCGGCATATCAGTGCTTTTCAGTGCTCTGAGAGAGTTGCGTGACCTCTCTTCATCAGCATAAATAATATTGCATAATTCTACACAACTATTTATATTACTCTCTTTCAAAAATGTTTGTTGTTGTTCATGCAGACTGTGTAACATCAGCCAACTTAGAGATCTATAATACCATTCTTAAACAGTGTTGTTGTCATTTTAGACTTTATGCATCCGTTGAATTCTCGGTCTGAACTTTTCAGCGAGCAGACAAATCAATACAGGGCATTACTTTGAAAAAACATTAACATTATAGCCTCCTACATGCATCATTGCAGTTTTCTCAAGCAGAAAATGGGCTTCAAACCTCTGAGCAAGGTTCAGATAATTCCCTTTAGATTTCCCCAATTTTAGTGACGCTGTATATTTCACAAGCTATTCCCCTTGTAGAAATAAAAAAAACTTCATGGCTACGATATTTCTCTGTCAAATCGCAGGAGGAAGACAGTGGAGGGAGGCAGGGTCAGTGATGGAGCGCTCTGCCCTGAGAGGCACGGAGTGACTTGCAGTCATAAAGGGGGCGACACCGGCGAAGCGGCAGGAATCTCATTTTGCTGCCCCATTTTCACAAGTATCATTATCATACACCTCTATGTCCTGGAGACTTGATGCATCTGTATCGTCCCCTACGCTGCTCTCACTGTTCCTGAAGGCGAACGCTCCTATAAAGGGATACACACTTTCTGTGAACAGGTCTCTGATGTTATAATAAGGGAGTTCTGGGTCTTGTCTTTCAGGCTTAGTGATACACTGTTCCTCTATGGCTTTGTTTCTTTGATAGTACTTTGAAAACTTATTGAAGATGATGGTGATGGGCAGAGCCACCACTAACAGGCCACAGATGATACACAAGGTGGCCACTATCTTCCCCGCCAGCGTCACCGGGCAGGTGTCACCGTAACCGACTGTTGTCATGGTGATCGTGGCCCACCACCAACCTGAAGGGATGGTCCCCAAGTCTGTGTCCTCCTCTTCTTTCTCTGCAAAGTAGATGAGGGCGGAAAAGATAGAAATCCCCACCGAGAGGAACAGAAGGAGCAGACCCACCTCCTGGTAGCTGTGGCGGACGGTGGCACCCAACGCTCGCAGCCCAATGGAGTGGCGAGCCAGTTTGAGGATTCGGAGAACCCTCATGAGGCGCAGAACCTGCACCACCTTCCCCACGTTCTCTAAGTCCTCATTCTCCTCTGCAGCCTCCTCATCGGCTGTTTCCAGAGCTAATGTAGCATAGAATGGCAAAATGGAGGCAACATCGATGATGTTCAAGGGGTTTCCGAGGAACTTCCTGCGGGAGGGCGCCACGATCAGCCTGATGATGAACTCAGCGGAGAAGCAGGCAATGCAGATCTCCTCCAGAATGGTGAGGACGGGGTCTTCGATGGGTCTGTCATTGTCGTCCACCTGCTGAAACTCAGGCATGCTGTGGACACACATGGCAACGATGGAGGTCAGCACCAAGCTGAGGGAGGCCACGGCGATGATCTTTGAACCTCGCGAGTGACCTGGATCCTCCAGCCTGAGCCAAATGTAGCTCCTCAATTCTGCACACCAGGCACCTTTGAACTTGGCCAGGTCCTTATCGAGAGCAGAGAGCTCCTCAAAGGAGGAGTCGAAGCTCGGCTGCTGCTGGTCGTCGCTCCTGATGTCCCAGTCCCTGTCCTCGATATACTCCTTCCTTTCGTGGTACCAGTTGTTACAGCAGGGGCTCAGGTAGAGCTCCTGGATGCCCCAGTACTCAATCTCCTGGCTGAAGGAGAAGACGCACACCTCCTCCATCATGTGGATGCGTCCCGTGTGGTAGAAGTTGAGCACACAGAGGAAAACCCGGGGATTCCTGTCGAAGTAGTACTCCTTCTCGGCCGGACTGTAGTCGTCACACAGCTCCAGGATCGCCGCCTCGCTTTGGCAGCGCAGCAGACGGGCCAGGCGTGTGTGAGGGAAGCGGAGCAGCATGTCCGGATCCACTTCATGTCGAACCCCTCCCACGTTGAGGTGGACCTGGTCCTCCTTATTGCCCTGCCGGTGGAGGATATGCCCATACCCCATGGTCCTGATGATGATACAGAGATATTACAAGAAATTAAGTCTGTAAATTTTATATTTTTATGACCAGAAAATGCACCACAAGCACATACAGTCTGGATTATAAGTGGTACATTTATGTGAAGAGATGTCTATTGTATTTGACTGCACTGTTTGTAGAACACATTAGTCCTCTGAAGGAAAAAAAATCAATACAGCACACGCAGGAAATGGCTTGAGCTGGAGTGAGTGAAGAGGCGTGAGGTACTGTCACTTCTTTGAGGGCTCAAGCACAGAATTACCACTGAGCATCAAATTACAGAGCAGACTAGACAAACTCAGAGGAAATGAGTGGCAACAAGTTGAAACTGAACCCACAGATCATTTCAAGCAATTATTAAAGCCTGTTAAAAGATTTGTTTTCCAGCATTTGTGGATTTCTGTGGAAATGTCCTCATATTTATTCTTCCTGGCTTTCAGAGCTACGCACTGGTTTTGCATGGAACCAACATTTCTTCACCAAACCCTATTTGAAAATAAGTCTATTACTTTTTTTATTACAAAAACTGAATGCAAAACGTAAAGATGACACGTACCTGCACTCGGAGCCTTTCTTTCCATGAAAATAACTTTTATCCGGGTGGTTTAGTTTTCACATTCTGGTTAAAAAAAGAAACGCCGCACACACAGCCGGTCTGTGGAGGGAGTGCGCTGCTGCAGCTTCACGGACGGGACAAGACGAGCTGGAGGCGGGACAGCGGCAGTTTGATCCCTTTTACAGGGAGCAGGGAGGGGCGAGAGAGGAAGGGAGGAAGAGGAGAGGAGAGGGAAGGGTGGAGACTGTACAGATGGAGGAACACCCTGCGAGAAATGACTGTAGTCAGTTTTATTTTGCCATTTTATTTATTATATCACGGTATGCCTGTAACATTCCTAAATGATGCTGCAGCTCTGTTGTGATTTAATCTCTGCGATTTATTTGACTTTTTTCATGCTCCTGCAATAATTGTATGCATATTTATTTATTTATTTTTTTTAATTTGCACTTGTATTTGGAAAACTGCTGCAACTAAAGGCAGCTGGCCCACACAGACTGCTCGCTGGAAGGAGTAAAGTAAAATCACACTGACATTTCAGTCCTCTGTGAGAAAGCACTGCTGGCAGGATAACCAGGCATTAACACTGTATTTGGCAGCGATAGGGAAATGCAACATACCTTTATAGTGAGTGTTGTTTGACATGTTGTAATCTATAAAATAATAAGTTTTACAATCCCTCATTGTATCGCCTCAATAAAAAAACATCTTTAGTGTCCTCCAGATGTGCTGCTTACAGCTATTCCTCCTAAAAGCACCAAACCCTTGCTCTATTTCTGTTCTAGTCCCTAAAATTAATGTGGCATTTTAACATCTCTCTGCCTCATCAGAGAAAACACACATTTGTGCACCTTTTTAGCACAGTGTGTGTTAATTAAAGTTCATTAAAGTTGTGTGCTGTTCTCTACCACAGCCAGGAATAAATTACCAACTGAGCAAAAATGGACCCAAAGATTCACTTTGCCCTGTTTAAATACAACAAATTAAACTTAAATCAACTAAAGCCGCCCCAATTAAAGTAAGTATTCAAGAGGGGCCCTGTGACAAAATTATTAGTCCATCAACATAAGATCAGTCATTGAATCCTTTAAGACTTTTATCAAGCAAAAATCCCCAATCATGATCTCTTCTCTGCTTCTCAGGTTGCTGCTTTTTTTTTTTAGTTACACAGGTTAATCCGGCCAGTTATTATAGCACAAAGATGTCAGATCCTTATATCAGTGGTGAATGTGGAGATCTATATTGGTTGCGTTTGAAGATTGGAGGGCCTTTTTAAAAATCTTCTCCACTGACTCTAAAAAAGAGATCTTTTCCTGTTTGTTGGTTTGGTTTCACGTCATTATTTGATACATTTTGTACTCTTACTTTTACATTTTTTAAAGAAACCCTGAACATATGGTGAGATCGTTGTAATAAAATTAATTTCTTCAGATTCAAGTCAGCCAGGAGGACAACCTCTCAGCAGTAAGTGTTGAGTCTCAGTTCAGACAGCGTGCGCTCACTTATCCCCATCAGGCTGTAATAGGATCCACCTGTGTGTGGTTGTATTTGAACCTCCCTCAACCTGCTCAAAGGGTCTATAAAAAATGACAAAAACAAGGACTCTGAGGTTACTGGTCTCCCATCTCTTGTGCCATGGGTTGTTTAGTTGAACTGGGGTTTGTTGTTTTGTTTTTATCCATTGCTTTTACTCAAAGTTTAATTTTCTTTCTTGCCTCTTTGAAAATGATTCAATCTCTTTCAGGTGGTTTATTCTCCTGATAGCAGTTTTAAATACAGAGGCTCAAAACAAGCCCCCTATAAGTAAGTGATTTCCTAAACATGGGTCACTTTACAATCACTGTATGCTCCTTTACTAATATAAATGTTTAATCTCAGATATCCAGTCAAAATGCCTGGGGAACGTCATGCGTGTGGATGTTGGTCCACTTGGAAGTAGTCTTCTTGAAGTCGCTGCTGTTTTAAGTGAGGCAACATTTCTGAATTCATTGTTTTACTTTTGTCTCACGTTTTCTCTCTAACTGGCCCTTTTCTTCTTCCTCAGATTACTCTGCCATCCTTCTTACACCAAGCTTGGCTTCTCAGTGTGGCTTCAATGTGAAGACAGACCAGTTCGGGAATGCCATGATTTATGCCTCCCTTCAAAACTGTTTTGCTCAAAATGTGGTAACGAGACTGGAAATGTCATTTCTGTAGCGTAGCACCAAATGTGTTTTTTAATGTGGTTAATCATTTGAGTCTTATTTCCATGTGTTTGCAGGATGATAAAGCATTTACAACAACACTCAATCTTCGACTGTATGGGAACCGGATGGTTGGAGACGAGCAGTACCAGGTGTCTGAAACCTGCCAGTACACTCCCTGGGCCTCAAGGGAAATTGTCTGTGACCACAACTTCATGGAGGCGAGTGAATGCAGCAGGACTCTTAGGGGTCATGTTGCAGTCTATATGATAAGTGGCTTTATTTTCCCCATATGAGCATCAATGCTGGTACATTTGCTGTCTCTGCAAAGGGGGAGAGAGTCATTATCACTTATTGAGTGGCCTCATTTCTAGGTGTCTGTGAAAAGGGCAGCTCAGCATGATTATGCGCTGCCTGAACATCCCATCCCAGGAGATAATTCAAACTTTGGTGATCCTCGACGAGCTGCTGAGGTTTGATAAGCTCATTTGTTTTATTTTAATATTCTGAGAACACACATTTTCTGTATTTAATGACATGTCCTGACATTTGCCTTGCACAAACAGCCCATAAATGCAGAATTCATGAAGACAACGCTCGTCTTCTTTCCTGAGGAGAAGATTATGAAGGTGGCCAAAGCCCAGAGAAGTGGTTATTGGATAGCAAGCACTGCTTCAAGGCTGGTTCTGAGAAGTCCAAAGACTTCACCTGAGACGTACCCCCAGAATGTAAGGGGACTGGCTGCAGTTCACTAAATTTCAAATGGCTGGATTTGCTATCTTCCCCCTCAGGCAACCTCTTGTTAAATTACTTGTAGCCCATTAGATAACTCACTACTTGCTTACACTTGCAGCCCGTAAACTACTCAATTTAGCTTAAGTAATGTAATCAGACTGCTTTTAAATGGATTACTTTGTCTGAAATCCAGTTGGCAGAGTTAAATCCATTGAGCTCCTTTATTTTATATGCCCCCCCCCCCCCC